CCGTGGATGCGTGGCACTGACAGATCATGCAACAAAAGTGAAAAAACATGCCGACAAAATCGCCATTCGACGGAGCAATTATTCTTTGGGATCGGCATTTTTCAAACAAACTTCGTCAGCGGATACAACTAAAGACGTTACGCGCTGGGGTACTTACTTTGGCTGAACCAAGCAACGAAATCTGCTCCACTGACGCCCCTCGCCGATAGACAGGTACACTCCGAGGTATATACTTTTTTATTCAAATATACGAGGATGATATTTTCACTTTTATTTGGTATGCATTTGTAGCAACAGCATGATAACATTTATTTGTTTTTATTTGCGTTTTATATTCATATTGATAATTCACGTTTTGTCTTGGATAATAAAGCACGGTTATGCATAATAAATTGTATGCATAATATTCACTATCACTGTATGAGGTAAGAATCAACAGCTTTTTATCACATTTACACAACACTTTATGAATACAAGTCATGAACAAATCTTAAATATGGCAGGGGATGTGTTTACTTTTTTTGTTTTGATTTTTAGCAGCAAATTTGGAGTTACATATTGGTGCTCACCAGGAATGCATAGGCAAAATTGCACAAATTTTCACTTGAAAGAATAGTGGCGATCTTGGGATTTTTTTCTGTTCAATTTTCAAACTGTGTAAATTTAATACACTTCATCTTCAGCATGTTTAGTGCCACTTTTGTAAGTAACCACGCCCCCGTCCAGGCCACGCCCCTTCCGCTTTTTTCATCACTCGCCATTGCCATGTATGCATAAATTATTTACAATATTTGTCGAAAGGGTTCTGTCAGTCGTCATCTGTACTTGTGGGTAAAAAACTTTTCAGTTACACCTAACAACATACCAAAAACAGACTACATCACAGCGGTAGAAACAGCGATCAAAAATAACAAGTTATCAAAAGCAGAAGCAGACGACATTCGCCTTAGTGTAGCCTCCTCGCTAAAAGCAGCAAAACCGCCACCCTCAAACATATCAGTAGAAGAACGAAAAGCCTTAGCAGAACTCCAAAAAGAAGGTAGCATCACAATATTACCAGCAGACAAAGGCAGATGCACAGTTATACTTAACACTAGAGATTACGATGCCAAGATCTCAAACTTGCTTAGCAACACGAAAACCTACAAAAGACTAAAAGGCGACCCAACCAATACATACAAGAACAGCATTGTCAAAAGCCTACAAAAGTTACAAAAAGAGAAACTAATTGACCAGCAACTTTATTTCAAACTTTATCCAGGCGA